TAAGTAGTTTGTGGTATCACATAAAAACGAAGATGAAGCTTCTTTAATAAGGATTACTAATTCTGAAGGAAGAATTGATTATGTATTTTCTTATTAAGAAGCTTATTGCGTATTATATGCTTAATAAATATAATTATGTTATTAAATTTTTTTTTTTTTTTTTTTTTTATAGCGAATCCTTGAATATCATCGTCTTGCTGAGTTGCTTGCGAAATAGATAAAGAAGTAATTAGAGATCGAGATCGGGTAAATGAATTGGCCTGGCTTTCATTTTATTCATTATCAATATTTCGTTTTCATGTTCATTGTCATGTTCATTGTCGATTTCGTTACTTCCACAATTGACTTCGTGCTTCAATAAGGGGTTTTAAAAATAAGTGGGAGTTTAAAGATCCTACTTCTATTTTTAAATGCTAACTCGGAGAACTAAATAGAAGCACACGTTAATAAATTAACTTGTTTTTGATAAGTATCTACTAAAAAAAGTAGGATTTATGTATCACATACGTATTTCAACACTTATTTTATCTGAAATCGGATACCAAAGCATTAATTATGAAACCCATATTGCTTTTTTCGGGTTCTTCAATTTTATGAATTTTAGATGAATCTCTATGTGTTGAATAAAAATCGTGTTTTTATAAAAGGATTTTTCGTTTTTTTTTCTTAGTCAGTACATTTAAAAGAGAAAAAGATATTTGATAAAATTTTAATTACGTACGAGCTAATGACTTATTTTATCATGTGAGAGGTCAGGGTATTAATTAATAATGTCTTGGGGTCACTGCGTAATTAGTGGATTGGTCCCAGACAATGATAACGGCCGGCCAGTATCAGTCATGTATTTCCGTTATCACTGTCTTGGACCAATCCACTAATACTCAACGACTCAATATATTATTATTACTAACGCCCCGGAACGTTGTTTAGGGTATGCAACTAAGGAGAATTAAGGATTAGTTTAGCCGAATATGGACCATAATTTTTATTTTTAAAAAAATCTTCGACCAAATTAGTTTTCTTAAAATTGCATGCACCTAAGTAACGCCCCGGCGTTATTTTAAATAAATGTGGTAACGATATACAGTATATATATAATTTATCATTGAATATTCATCGAATTAACTGTAATAGGTAAAATGATAATTCATCCGAATATTCGGATATTTTGAAAATCTGGATATACTATTTACCGGATCGGACCCTTAACTACATAGTATCTCAGTTTTGGCTAGACCTAAGTGAACGATGACTTGAGGCAATAAACCATATAACCAAGGCCCTCGGAGAGAAGGAATTCATCAACCTGGTAGTCAGGTCACCAGAAAAAAAAGATTCATGTCCGGGATTCATGTGATTTTAAAGTTCTAAATTTACCAATTAGAATGCAAGATTGCACCTGACATCAAATTTTATCGAAACAATATTTAATTTTCCCTGACACAAATTAACATCGCTAGCAATAAGAACAAGGAACGAAGCTCGACCTTGAAAGTTCATTGTAATTCGAATCTTGTGACATTGTATTAATTAATAAAAAACAAATAGAACTCGTACAACCTATCAACAATCTGCATTTACAAATTTCTGTATTTGATTGTTGTCTGATTGAGAAAAACCGCTTGTGCATTAAACGTATTTGACAATTTTCCCTGATAATCAATCGATATCTATTTAAATATTGTATAACGAGAGACAAGAGCTCACAATTATAAATGGGAAGTAATTTTCAATACATACGCCACTTTCCTTTGTTAAACAATGCCCCAGGTTTTGAGTGAAAGTTTCCACGTGATATTATCAACAAATGACATAACAAATTTGGTTCATGTATCTATGTATGCCGTAGATCACAGTTTCTTTTATCGTTATGACTTTAACGTTCTATTTATTGTTGGCCGGATTGACCAATTTTTTATTAAAAACTATCCTTTATATTTTTCAAAAAATGTCTATTCAAATAAAATCTATCATACCTTCTCATAAACCTCTTCCAGCCCTTCCAACAGAAAATGGAGATTCACAAGAGATTATAAAAAAGTCAAAACTAACTTCTGCTAACCTTCCTCCATTACCACAATCTAACGATTTAATGTTAGATAGTAGTTCACTTGGACACATTCGAAAACTTTTAAGGCAAATTTTAAATAATTGCAATTTAGCTATTGATCCTTGGGAATCAGTAATTCTGGGAATTATACTTGATATTTCTGGAATTGTAACTAGAGTTGTCGATGGTTTACCAACAAGCCCGACTTCTTCTGTCAATCCTGCTAACGAAAAATCTGTATTAGGATCAAATTCCGGATCAGAATTTAATCATAACTCTCTAGAAAAATTCGTCATCAATATTAAAAAGGATGATAGTGGAAAACCAACAGATTCACGATTTATTTTTAATCATTTTGAAGGCATTCCTTTATTTAAACATGAATTAGATGAAGGTATGAAGTTCTAAAATTGTTAATGTTATAATTATAGTTGAATTAATTATATTAATTTACTATATAGGGCTGGATCCTTCCAAAGAGCCAAAAAAACGATGGATAGGTGGTACCATCATTCTTAAATGCGCTAAGAAGAATTGGGTAGACAAAATAATTGAACTTATGGTTTTTGTTGTGTGCAATCTAAAATTGGAGATGTGTTTGTATCGGGATCATTCTATTGTACGCGATGAAGTTGAAGATATCCAGGATGCTGAAGAGGTTAAAAACACAATACGATCTTCTAGACGTCGTTCAAAATCGTCGTTATTTGGATGGTTAATGAAGCATACCAATTTGCAAAATACTAAAGAACAAACAATTAAATCCAATGAGAAACGTGAGAAACAAGGATCATCTCTAGCTAGATGGTCTACAATAAGCAGGACTTCATCGTATAGCAAGGATTCCAATCTTTCAATTATTGACTGTGATGATGATACGATAATGTTAACAACAAGCAATTTTGCTAAAGTAATTTCTCAAATGGAAACTGCTATTTTATCTGTATCTCCTGGAGTAAAATTTCCACCTCCACATTTGTTGACGAGATTAGAGGAGGAAGAGACTAACACTCATCCGAATAACTATGGTGATATAAGCATAAATTTTAATACCGTTTTGGATTCTATTGAAAAATATCGAACTTATGCACCATTATTCAAGTCTGGACAGGTATCCCTAGATTTTAAAACTGGTCTTTCGTACTTGATGACTCAGAATAGTAATACACTTAAAGGCGTATTTAAGCATCAGTCAATATCGTGCTCATATGCCAGGTTCTGGTCACCAGATTCACCTTCCCTTTGTCATAATCATGAGATTATTACGATGGACTATTATAATAAGAATAATTCACACATTGATAAATCTCTTGGTGAAGTTATTGATGATATTTGTGACAAAGCTTATGAGACGTGTGAAGATAAAACATGTGAACACCAAGGAATTGACCATACATCTACATATACACATAACGATGGAAGAATAAGTATAAGTCTTGTTGTTGAAGAATCTTCAGATCCTAAATTGAAAGCTTTTAATAATCAAATTGTTATGTGGACTCAATGCAAGTTATGTTCTGAAAAATCCTCTGTATTTATTATGTCACGTTCAACGTACCTCTACTCCTTTGGCAAATACCTCGAATTATTATATTATAATGAAGATTTCACCTGTAAAAACTTATGTCCGCATGTTGAATTGCGTTATCCATTAATTCGGTGTTTTCGTAGAGGGAATTTTATTGTAAAAATAGAATACGAGCATGTAGACCTTTTTGAGATGCGATTGCCAAAACTTCAAATATCTCTGGATAAGCAATCTGCATCTTCTGTAAAAGAAGTCAATCAACTTTTCTCAATTGATGATGAAAATTCAAAAAGATTATATAATGAAACGAGATTGGAAATTACCTATTTTTATCTTTCAGTAAAACGGCACATTACTTCACTAGAAGAACATTTTCGATCTTTGCATGTAGAACAGACCAATAGCAATGTTGAAGCTTCCATGTCCGAAAAAATTATTCATGCAATTCAAACATTGGATGAACTTACAAGGAATTTTTATGAAGAAGAATTTAAACTTTATGATCTATTGAAAAAAGTAAATGCAGCAATTCTAAATAATGTCCGACGAAGTCTAGTAGATCATATTAAGAATACAAAAAAGCGATTATTTCAATGGCAAAAGGAAAATCTTGTTGAGTCAGATATAGCAAAATTCAGTGAAATTAAGTGGTTAGAACCGGAATACTCAAGGTGTCCTTCTTTATTTTATTTCATAGCATTCATATTTATTGAATACTAAAATGTATTTATTTAAATAGTTCTGACACATGCTATGTTTTTCCTGAGTCGCCCGTTATAACTAGGGAAGATGAACCAAGCTCTATTATTGCCTTTACGCTAAGGTATATAGTGGCTACGGTTTATTAAACATTCATTGTTTTAAATACATTTATAGTTGAATTCCATTCATTATCTTCATTTTTATCTTCATTCTTATTAGTTCTCAAGGGTACTTAAATGAATTATCAACGTTACGTGCTAATAGCAGACGGATATCATCACAGTCAGCCCCTGTAACTCCTGTCTCGGAGTTTCATGCACCGACACCATCAGCATCCTTCTCCTTATTACTTAGTTCATTAAAGAATCCGTCGTCAACAAATGTCTCGTCAAAAAATAGTATTTCAAATGAGTCTGATATAGATGGTGACAAATTTTCTGTAGATGAATATTCCGTCAAAACAAAACGCAAGGTCATGGATTATGGACTTGGTGATAAAATTTCCTATAGCATTGAATCTCTTGGGTCGATTAAACCATTTAATTTATCTTTAAACAATAAAGATAAAAAGAAAGATTCCGAGAAGGATGCAGAAAAAAGTGCTTCCCAACGAAATGGAAAGTTTCCAAATCTTTTCGGAGGCAATCATAATGATTCAGAAAAAGTTAAAGATGTCGAAAATGAAAAGCAAGTTATTAATGAAAAACAAGAACATGATACGGTAAAGGATGTAAAATTTGTGAAACCTGAGATTAACATTGTCGAAACCCCAGATGAGTTAAATGAAAAAGAGTACTCGAAGATTAGGGATGATAGATCTGCTCCTACTTCATGGAATCGAAAAACTCAAAAAGAAGCTGACAGCCCACATATAAAACATAGTATTTTTCGATTTATATTTTACTTAATATTCCTATTTTTTACAACTTTTATTTATTAATTGGTTTTTAATTTTATTAGAGGCCATTCGTGGAAACAAAAAAATCACATGCACAGTGTACTTTGCAGAACAATTCGATTATTTACGGCGTAGATGTGGAATCGAGGATATTTATGTGGATTCATTGTCTAGATGTTCTTCATGGAAAGTAAGCGGAGGTAAAAGTGCTAGTACATTTTTTAAAACGCAAGGTAATGTTAGATTTTCTTTGAACGTTTTATTGTTATTAATTAATCTTGATAATAAATTATATATAATTTTTTTGTATATAAATAGATGACCGGCTAGTCATAAAGCAGATGGTTAAATCTTGGAAAATTTCGGAAAGAGATGCCTTAATACAATTTTCTCCAAAGTATTTTGAATATATGAACAAATCCACAAATGTATGTAAAATTTTTTAGCTCATTATCAAGTTTTCCTAAGTCACCTAACCAAATTTCTTTACATAAAGAAACCATCTATATTAGCAAAAATATTTGGATTTTATAGCATAAAAATTAAAGACATTAAAAAGAATAATATTATAATGAAGATGGACGTTCTTGTAATGGAACAATTATTCTTTGAAAAAACTATAACAAGAGTATGTAATTGTACATTACAAAATAAATAGATACTGTAAAATATGTCCCATAAATAATAGCTATCATATCTTTGCAGAAATTTGACTTGAAAGGGATACAAGAACGTCATACAAAGGAACAGCTTGAGGATGCTACATTATGGGATGGGGATTGGGTAGATGGTAAGATTATACATCAATTTAGATTTACATTGTATGACAACAAATTTAATCTGATATTTAATTAAATTATATAGGTCGATATAAATCAAAATTTTTGACATATTCTTATGGCAATAAACTTCTTAGGGAAGCTATAGCAAATGATACACAATTCTTATGTGATGCAAATATTATGGATTATTCATTACTCCTTGGTGTTGATGATAAAAAAAATGAAATGATTGCAGGAATTGTTGGTAAGGGTTTTTCATTGAATTTATGTAATTAACTAGTATGGTATTATGCTAATTGTATTTATTAATATATTATTCAGATTTTATTGGTGAATATACTTTGTATAAAAAGCTTGAATCCCGTGGAAAAACGCTTGGCCGCAACGCAAAAGAAGTTACGGTAATACCGCCAGATCAATATAAAGACAGATTCCGAGATTCAATAGAACAATATTTTTTGGCGATACCAGGTAATATAAATGTAAATTACCCTTTTTTATACCGTATAACCGTGAAATAATGCGCAGGGTGTAATTTCGAATTTCAGTCAAATTAAGCTTAATTTGGGCCATTATTCAAAATAAAGCCCTCGTGCGTTATTCCGCGGTTATACGGTAATCACAATCATTATATATTAAAGTTTATATTTGATTTTTGAAACAGACAAGTGGACAAAAACATACGGTGATAACAATCCACAATCATTGGTTACGGATGAAATGTCTCCCATAGGATGCACACCACCTTCATCACCAACTTCATTTGTACAAAGCTCTACGTTAATAAAATTGCCAAGTGTATTATAACATTTATTTTTTAAAAAAACTCAATATTTTTTGTAGGATATCTTGCATTTTATCTCAGCGACTTGGTACGTGTATTTATAGTTGATATGTAATTATATATATATATTTATTTAGTGTGTGGTGTTATGTTTTTTTTTTTTTTTTTAACATCAAATGAGCTATTCAGGGTATTGCATTTTGTAGCAGTTTTATTTTAGTTCTAGCTCATTTTCTTAACTATTAGATTTCGCATTTAATTTAAAAACCATATATATTGTATAAAATACATATTAAATTTCTAAATCTTCGAATTATGTAAAGCATTCTTCAAATAATTATAATAAATCTAATTTACTATACAGAATCTTAATTAAATCTAGTTATTTTATTTTATTTATACGATTAGATTGATCACGAAGTAATTCAAACAAATAAAAACTCAAAATCAAGTTATATTTTTTAATATATATCACAAACAGATATACAAAATTAACAGCACAGTACTATAATCTTGAAGCGATCAAATTCCTATAGTAAACGCCAATTAACAAGTGAGTAAATATAAACTTTAATCAATATATTTTTTGAGTAGCTGAAGTGACCTTGAATACCTCAGAAGATAGTGTGTTAGCAAGTGGAATGGAAGTGTTTCAAAAAACATTCTTCCCTTGAGTGGCTGCACGTGTTTATTCTGGAGACATAGGAACTCACTCATATTTGAACAAAATTAATTATGCTAACCGACTAACCGTTGTCCTTTTTTTTGATATCTAATCTATTGATACATCAAAAAAAAAGAACATGACGTATTTTCATTTTGAAATTTCCACCTTTTTGAAAATTGCATGTTTGACTCACCGAATATATTACGTTCGGTACAAAATGATTCGAAATGTCATACATATGCATCCTGAAATAACGCGCGGGTGCTCAAAATAACGTGCGGGTGCGCGTTTATTACGGTAAAATGATTGACCGGTTAGAATCGCTAACAAAAATGCACTGGTTAACAGTCAAATGCCATGTGACATCGTCTAATCATGCAGATTTGGTTAGTTTATACAAAATCAACAAAAGAAAAAAAACAATGAAGGGGAAAGACATGAAAATAAATAAAGTTGCCAAGGAAGAAGCGATCCGCAAAATACTGATACGCGATTTTGTCATAACGATAATAGTGTATCATCGTAGTATTAACTTGATTTTACCTATTTTAGCAGTAGATAACTTAAATGATGTACTTTAAATAGAAACTGATAGCTAACCATACAAATTTCCCACGGTAAAAGAATTTTGCAAATATAGTCTAAAAAAAAAAAAAAAACCTTGAAATACTAAAATAGTGATCGAAAAATTAGCTTAGTTGGGCTAAGACATAGAATCACCGATCAGACTTATGTACTCTAAAATCTTTTGTTGTATAGGACTATGAATCTCGTTGTTGAAACTAGAGTGACATCATATTGTGCTAATATAATTTGAAAATTGACAAACGAAATAACTAACTAAAAGAAAATTATCAATATTGATATCGATATTTTTCATGGGTTTTATATGTAATAAAAAACTCCCATAATGTAAAAGAGTGTAAAAGATGCTGTAAATTATAAATTTTTTATTCCTTATGTCGTCTTACATGGATTTCAGAAATTGTAAGTTTTTATGTATCAAACTGTAACCTATATAAAAAGAACGGGACAGTATAAGGAATGAATAATATCCATAGTCTTTAGCGTTCTTATCTAATGACCTACCCAATATAGCGCGAAATAATGCTCGTTGCATTATTTTGGAAATTGCACTATTTGAATACTGTTAAACCCCCTCAAAAACGATATGTATGATGGACAGATTTTGTCAGTATAAAGCGTTATCAGATTTGAAAACATTATAAACTATTAGATTCATATAGCGGAAGCGGATTGATTTTTTATTAGATTTGACAGGTTATCAATTTTAACAGACAGTACGTATGGATCTAATCGGTTATATTATATGTACGGGGTGGGGTGGTCGGTCAACTAATAAAATCAAACCTATATGTGGACCTTTAATAGATTACCATAGTACAGATTTCTAACGATTGTGATTGGCTAATTTATTGTAATATAAAAAAAGTGTTAAGCTATCACTATTGCTACATAAAAATTTTATTAAATTTCATTAACGCATTTTGCACACTAAAATCCACCTCTTCAATTTTATTTTTTTCTTTTCTAATATTTCATCTAATACTAATAATTCTGTTCTTAATATCCTTTTTAGAAAATTTTGTTTGTAAAAGATATAACTTGGATTCTTTGAGATCTAACAACATATTATAATGGGTTTTAAGATCTAGTTTATTGAACATGTCCTTAACTTGTTGCTAATATACAATTATATAATAAATTTTTGTAGTAATGAACTCATAAAGTAGAAGATAATTTGATAATTTAGAATTTAACACATTACAAAAATTATCAAATTGTTCATAAAAATTTGGATTTGAAAGATTGAGTGTTTTCAATCCAAAATCATTTGAATTGCAATCTTTTAGATTATTTTCAAGTTGGTGAATATATATTATCTTTTGTTTGAACAGTTCAAAAACTGTTGGAATATTTAAAATAATATGTTGACAATTTTAACAAAAGGTTGTGCATAACTTTCTTCTAAACAACAAACTGACAAATATAGTTTTAGTCATTAAGTTATTTATTTTTCAAAATGAACCAATGTTTTTTTATTTTTCTTTCTAATAAATTAAATATTTCTTCAAACTTTATTTTATCTAACAATTCTAGTGTGTTTAGTAATTCTTCTAAAAAAAACATCAAAGTTATTTATTGCATCTGTTAAAAAATCTAACTATTTATAAACTTTATTTGACATTTCATGTACATATTATCTAGAAGATAAGTTAACCTAATTTTTATTATTAAATATTCATATTACAGCATCTTAACTGACAAGAAACTTCATTAATAAACTAAAAAAATAATCATTAAATTTTACTAAACATTTTAATTAAATATTTAATTTTTTATTATTTAATCAAATATGGAAGAGACATTAATTATTTAAATAAGATATAGTTGTATTAGAATAAGTTTCTAAGATTTTAATGAACTATTCTGCAAATTGAAGATGTGACTTTTTTTAAAAAATATTAGTTAGTTATATATAATTCATACTTCTAACAAATTTGTAACAACATTTGATATTATAAATAATAATATTCAATAAGTGATTTATAAAGTTTCTAAATATATTTTGATTTGATATTCATAGAAACATTAGTATTCTTATTTTTATAGTCATCATGAAGATATCAAATAAGATGTAAAAGATTAAATAAATAAGATTTTCTTGAAAATTCTAATATCTATTTGAAGGTTTTATATTCAAAATTAGTAAACACAATATTGATAATATATAATATGTATCTAATTCTAATTAAATTAGAATTTGTTAATTTATTAAATTTAACTATAATTTTATTAGTATTTTCTAACAAATATACTATATTATTAGTAAGTTATATTATATATTTTTGCATATCAAGATTATATTTTTGACAAATATTAATAACTGATTTTGTAATCATATTAGCATTACATCTTTTTATTATTTGCAAACTAATCATACTAGCTATAGAATAATTTTGTTTCTTATCTTAATACATAAAACAAATAATTAAATTTTTATCTTGATTATAAGTTGATTCATCAGCAGAAATACCAAAAGCACTTGTTTGTTGAATATATTTAGTAAAATTTAAAATAGTCAACTTTTTAGTAGTTTTTCTATTAAAAACTTGTAGATTAATCTTATACACTTAACAGTCAAATATATTAAAACTTGGCTAAATTATACTATTTTGGTTATTAGTCAAACTATATCTAAAAAATAGTACTAATTATTTGATTTAAAAGTTATTTGACTTTTTTTTTAAATATATCTAAAGAATTTTTTTAGATCTAAATACTAATAAACATATAGCTAATATTTAATATAAAGGTTTGTATTTTTTTTTTACTTTTGCTAAGGTTATAGTTATTAGCAGCTATTGCCTTTATTGAATTTTAATTATAATTATATAACTTATACAAAATGAGTATACAATTAGTCATACATACAATTTTTGATTGTCTATTTTAAGTAGTCTGTCTGCATAGTAAGTTTTATATTAACTATTATATCTGCAATCTATTAGAAGATTGCTTATTTAAATATTCTAATTCTTATACTTATACTGACAAATAGTGCACAAGTTTCTATACACCTAAGTGCTGTTTAACTTAACTGTAACCTTCTTTTCTATATATTTGTCAAGCTGTTATACATTTCAGAGTATATCACTTAACTGATAGATGTTAAGAGATTCCTTTACTAACTAACTATTTACATTTAATTTTTTTGTTAACAGGATTCACCTTTGTAGAGTTTACCCAAACCTTAGCATCAACTTTATAACATATCTCTAATACTTATAATATACCTCTGCTTTTGATCTCAGATTTCTAATTTAGATAGCTCAATAGAATTATGATCTGTTTTTGGTACTTTAGAATTTGTTTTTTTTCTTTAGTTTGAGACTTTTGGCAACCTGGTTGATGGTATCATTTTTTAAGATTCTTGCCTATCTGATTTCTTCTACATTAGTATTCATTTCCTAAATCTAGCCTTTACAATAGTACTGTCAAAGATTTATATTACCTTTTTACTTAGATTTTCTCAAATGGACTTCAGCTTCCTAATTCTACAGATTTATATACTCACAAGAACTTATCTTGGATTTGCATTGTCTAATGTTAGTTTGCATTTCTTTGTATAACTCCAATATTGTGCAGATACTCTATGACCTGTTAGTCATTCTGGTATAACTGTAGTTACAGGTATCTTATTGCAACTAATTGAAAAAATGTCATTGCTATAATACTATTTATATATTATATAGATGATTATTCAAATTTTTGCTGTTAATGGTTTTGAACTTACTACTTATCACTTGGAAGGTTAACAACTTATTCATTTTA